CTATCACAGAGCTGGTGGTTGAAGAACGTAAACACTTTGCGACACCTGTTAACATTCAGTCAGGATGCTCTGAGCGAGAGCTTTCAGAAACAGACTACCTGAGCTTGTAAGTTAATACAATCATTAAAAGGAGGTCTAAGACCATGTGGATACAACAAAACTTTTAGAACCATTGCTGGTTAAACGATGATGGAAAACATCCCACCAGGCTGGCTTGTTAACCCGTAAGATCAGTTTTTTAAAATAGACACCACTGAGGTATTTCTTCACCATGACTTTCCTACGCCCACCCAATGGATAACGACAATGGCCTAAGGACCCTCTTCCCAACCCAGACGAAACTTAACCAGAGGGAATGAGAGGGCCGGGAAGGTCGGGGTACAGTATATCCTGGTCATGTGCTTCTCGGCTTCATCAAGTATTTAATAAAACAAGCAAAGGAAAAAGAAACCTGGCCACCGTGATACCTTTGGTAGGAACAGCAAAACTGAAGACAACACACAAGAGAGGCAGGTCCCTAGTCACTGCCGGAACAGTCGGGGGACCGTGGCAATGTCACCTTGACACACATCCTGCTGCATCCGGGAAATCCACAAAGATTCTCTTCAAAGACATGGTGTTTCCAACTGGACCCTTTGAACTGCTCCTATATGGGTATACTTGCAAACATCCAACGTATTTAAGTATTTTTTCTCTTGGAGAGGAGAGCCCTAAAGGCCTGGAGCTGCAATGAGGTCCTCACACATAAGGTCAGCTCAACCAGGGTCTCCCAACACTGAACACAAGAGTGGTGCACATCCGTCTCATCAGGGGAGGGGTGGGAGGAAGAGCCAGACCGCCAAGAACAGGATTTAGATGTGCGATCACACTTGCCCGAGCATATGTATGGGTGTATTTGGTTTCCAAAGCCTCTCTTTCAAGGGCAAACATTTCGCTGAGGAGGAATGAGTTTGGGATCTATGGGAAAGGTTTTCTTCTCGAGGTAGTTCTCCACCCGCAACCCACCCCTCACTCCCCAGTAGATTAACACTATTCGGAACCTTATCAGATGCTCACATGAGGTAGATGACTTTCACAAGTGAGGTAGGAACAAAATAAAAGCCTTTCAGTGGTGTGCTGGTGTGCGTGCGAGCGTGCGTGCGTGCGTACACGCGTGCTGTACGCTGTGTAGAATGTGCTGTGCTCTGGCCGGAAGTCACAGGAGGCTCCGGCTCTATGTCATCACATGCAGATACAAGAGCTTGACTTTTATACAGCCCCAGACTGTTGCAAACTCAGTAAGAGTGATGTTTTCAATAAATAGGCTACATACTTTTTTTGGCACCATTGGATTAATTTTTTAAAACGAACAAACAAAACAAAGTAAAACCAAGTCTAACTTTGGCATATCTTTTGCTATCTACCAGAACACAGCATCTTAGACTCTTCCAAAGAAGGTGACAACAAATATACAAACAAGTCATTTTGTCGCTTCAAGCCTGAAAGTTTTCCCTCCACTAATCATTAAGCTTTGGCTTAACTAGGTTAAAACAGACTGAGCCAATATACAGCCATTCTCCTACAACTCCGACACAAAGTGCCGTTTGCTGGCAATTTCTTTGGCTCATCGCAAAATTTAGTTATTGTTTATGGTACCCTTAGTTGTGCCCCCCTCCCACCCCTAAATAAGTTAGACTTAAAAGGTTATCAATTGAAGAGTGAGTGCACTTGGGATACTACTACCGGGCCACAGGGATCTAGGTTCATCTGTCGGCCACCAGAGACTATACTGCTTACCTGAACCAAATTTACTGACGATTGACTTTTTACTGTTTCTTAGATAGCACTTGATGTTCAAGTCACTGTCAACCAAAAATGAGCTTTCACCTACCTATGGGTTCTTTAGAAGTCTGTGAGCCACTTTTGATACTGAAACCTTTGTACCCGAACCTAATTGTAGCCAAATTCAATGTCCTTCTCTAAACCTCCCAACACACACACACACATGCCTCACCTGACCAGACCAAACCACCAGACCTGAATTAAGAGAACTGCTTAAAACACATTCACATTTTAACCCTCTGACCTTGTTGACGGCTCTCCTCTTGGACCCAATTTCTGTTCACCTTACCAACACCTCGTCCTGAGATGTGCACGTCAATGCATGTGTTTTAACAGCCTCACTCCCCGTACCAAAAGCTGGCTTCCACCATTTCTTCTCTGATTTTGAGCATCTCACTATACAATGGACAAATAGTCTCCAAAGTGCTTCGCACCAACCCCTGTGGGTCTGGAGTCAACGGTGGGCAGCCTCGGGTGGCACAGTTTAAAAGCAAAGGCTCCCCAGATGCAACCGTTGCTCAAATCTCCACCATGCACCACTGAGTACAGGAGATGTATGAGGATCAGAGCTCTCACTTTCAGGAAATGCATCTCCAACTTACCTGAAGCCTGCAAGTGGGTCTCAGCCTTTATTAAAAGATGATCAGTTCAGGCCTGCAGTGAGAGGCCGGGTTTACAGCCAAGTCTACAGTAAAAGGCTCAGATGAGCAGTTTCTTACTGCTATTCAACAAGAGAATTTCTCACTCGGGTGCTAAAGATTTCCCTACAAATAAGAGACAGAGTGACAATCAATGAAACATCTGAAGTCACCTGAAATAACCTGCCCCAATCATAATCATGAAATGCACTCTGAAAAATGTTTTCAAGAAAAGGACAAAGAAGGTCCAGCCGCACCCCCAGCCCCCAATAAAAGTACTTTCTTCAAATACATGAAGGCTTTGGTGGAGGGGAAGGAGATCAGCATCATTCCAAAGTTAAACAAAAATTTAAAAAGTGAAAGTATTTATTAACATGGTGAAGGAGGTGTGGGGTGTGCTCAGCAAAATAAAAGCAACAACACAGGAAATGGTAAAGGACTCAGTGTTAAATTATTTAGTGAAAATAAAACCAAACCAGGTTTCTTGACCCTTTTCCGCTCTGTAATAGGCAACTGGCGGCAGCCCTTGTGAGATACATTCCAATTTTTGGATTCGTTTACTACACGCAGTTCTCATTTGTGAAATGTGTTTTGTTTTTTGTCACTCAGAAATACCTAAAATTTAAAGCAAGAGAAAAGAAAGGCAGGGTACCTTAAAAGTGGGAAAGTAATAGCTTAAGAGAGCCGGATGGGAGGTGCAACCTGACTGGCTCCTCCTCAATCTCCCATCACCTCTTTTCTTTTGAATAGGCATCACAAACGGCTCCATGTTGTGATTTGATTCTGCTGTTAAAAGTCCATCCATTTAGCAACAGGATTTTCCCAATTCAATGGGGGCGCAGAAACAGACCCTTCGTCTTTCTGTGACACAAGAAGTCTCCCTGTAAACCACTGCTGTGGGCGAGGACTGCGTTTTCCTGAGGAGAGCGGTGCGATTCTGGAATGTGGTTCTCAGGTCAGGGCTAACACCTGCCTTCTTTCCCACTGGAAAGACAAACACCCAGAAGCACAAGGTTTTTGTACCCAAGTCCAGCTCACAGCAAACCCACCCAGTAAAGTGACATCAAGGCCATCCCACGGCGCGTTCGGCAGTGGGAACCTGGCGTTAAATGTTCATTCTTTGGTACCGAGGTATACATCATTTTAAGAAAAGATATCTCATCCTACAATTCAGGTGTCCAGGTGATTTGGTTTATAATTCCTTCTACATTCAAAGACCCTGGGGGTGGCGGGTAGAAATCCAACTTAACCCGGAGCTCGGGCTTAAGCCATTTCTACAAAGTGTCCCTGTCCTGAGCAGAGGTTGTGGGGTTGGACTGTTCCTATTCAGTGTGACTTTTTAACATTCTTTTTCCCTGAACTTCCAAAGCAGTAAAAAAAAATTGTGCTTTTAAAGTAAAAGTCCATTCTCTGTCTACTCGTCTTAGGAAAATAAAATCCTAGAACTACAGAATCACATTCAATCTTGGGCTGGGAAAAACCGAACCCCCACTTTATTCAGAGTCCCTTAGTCCGGGGGTGTCCTTGCTTCTCTTCCTTGCACCCCACCCCATCTTCTGACCCACAGTCATACGCGTGTCCACCCACACGCACATCAATACTAGCGTGTGTCTGAATACTCCCTACCCCCTCTCGAAGATGAAGCAAATTTTCTTCCTTCTACTGAACTCTTCATTACCAACAACAGAACAATACTTCACGTTTTTCAGAATCAAAAATTCTGCATGAGTTATTTTCCCCGAAATTCAAGGGGGGAGGGGGGCACAGGAGGGCTTCTTGAGATGGGGTGTCATTTTGTTTTGATTTAAGAGCAAGATCTCTCATCTCTCTCTCTCTACACACACACACACACACACACACACACACACACACACACTCCCCCTCCCTTAAAAAACAAAAGAAGCAAATATTAGATCCTAAAATCCAAACGGTCTGCTTTTCTTAGCAAGTCACAGCCACCTCCCTCTTCTAGGAGTAAGAAATTATTTTGAGCAGGATGACAAACACACCGAGGTATTAAGAGAACACGGGAAAGTTCTCTGTTGCAGCACTTAAAAAGAACAAAGATCAAGACCATCCAACCCAACCTAACCCAACCCTAGCACGGTATGCAGAACACGAGATGCTACACACCATTGTGCATGTTACACCACATTTCCATTGTTTTAGAGTCTGTGCCCATGCCCCTGAGTTTGTGTTTCCTTGGCTCAATCTCCAGGGTGCACCCACCAAACACATCCAGGCCCTTCCAGCCAGGCTTGTGCATTTCTCGCCCCCACAAGGGGCCAGCGGGTAAGGAGAGGGTGGCGGTTGGGTCGGGCCTGCCGGAGAAGGTAGAGCTGTATGAGGTAGATAGAAATGATCACTTCACAGGCTCGATCCCTGCGGGAAAGGGAAGTACATTCATCTGTAACAAAATAAAGATGAGGTAGGACGTCGGCAACCTTTTCTTGTTCTCTTCTTTTAAAAAAATAAGAGAGAGAAAAGAAAAATTTTCCCTGAGACAGTTTCTTTTTTGAAATTCAAAAAGAGAGAGCATGCAAGCCAGAGAGAGAGAGAGCGCGAGACGGACAGACACACGCGGGCGCATCCACACACACACCACCCCAGAGAAGCCTAGCAAACAAGATTAGAAGACGAGGATCCGATTGTTGCCGAAGTCCACCACGACGATCATCCCGTCAGGGGTGACGGCGATGCCGGAGGGGCGGTCCATCTGCCCGAAGCCACTGCCCTGGGCGCCAAACTTGCACAGGAAGCTGCCGTTGGACTCGAACATCTGCACGCGGTGGTTCCTGGAGTCGGCCACGACGATGCGCCCTTCCTGGTCTACAGCCACGCCCTGCGGGCGCAGGAACTGCCCATTGCCCGTCCCCTCCGAGCCCAGGAAGCGTGCAGACTGGCAGTCGGGGTGGATGACAAGGAGGCGATGGTTGTTGAAGTCAGTGACCACCAAGTGGCCCTCGTGGTTGAAGGCCACCCCTCGGGGGGAGTCAAAGTGCTTCCAGAGAGCCCCCTCGAAGCCATATTTATTCAGGAAAACGCCGTCAGGCGCGAACAGCTGGATCCGGTGGTTCCGAGTGTCTGAGACCAGGATCTTGCCCTCGGAGTTCACCGCCACATCCCAAGGGTAGTTGAACTGCCCGTTCTTGGTTCCTTTCTCACCGAACTTGAGGAGGAACTGACCCTCGAAGGTGAAGATCTGGATGCGATGATTGTCCTTGTCGGCCACCACGATCCTACGTGAGGCGTCACAGGCCACCCCAGCCGGCCGGTCAAACTGCCCGGGCCGTGAGCCCAGGGCACCAAACTTGTGGTGGAAGGCACCACAGGGCTTGAATACCTGGATGCGGTTGTTGCTGCGGTCAGCGACGACGATGTAGCCCTCCTTGTCCACACTCACACCCCATGGGCGGCAGAGCTTGCCATCGCTGTCGCCCTCGCTGCCGAAACTCAGGCCCGGAAGCCCAATGCCCACGTAGCTGCGGCCTGACTTGACCACCACCTTGAAGGGGCTGTTTTCGATGTGCTGGTTGCACATGGTGACGGACACCAGGTGCTCCCCCTCCAGCTGGGGCCGGTAGCTCACCACGTATGTCCCATTCTGCTGATCGCTCACCTCTGCCCCGAAAAGATTGCCATCGGGGCCCAGGACCACAGCGGACATCAGGTCACCCCCAGAGAGACGGGGCTCCCCGTCGTGGTCGTAGCCGATGACCGTGAAGGAGGCCACCTTACCCTGGAGGGCCCGCTTGAGGCCCTCCCCTGTGGCCTTGGTGAGCGGTGCAAAAGCCCCACTGCTGACAAAGCCAAAGGACTTGATGGCGAGGTAGAGGGCCTGGTCAGGGGGCGTGAACATGACGCGGTCGTCTTCCTGGGGCTGCAGGAAACTCCGCACTGTCTTCAGCTCCTGCACCTGGGCCAGCATGCGGTCTCGGGCCAGCAGGATGTCCAGCGCCCGGCCCTCCTCCAGGACCTGCTGGACCGCACTGATAGTACTCTCCAGCTTGTTGAGGTTCTGCCGCAGCTTCTCCACCTGCAGGTACAGAGACTTGGCTTTCACCTGGCGGATCTTCTCTACCTGAAGAGAAAGGAGGGAGAAGGGAGGGGGGACAAACAGCGGCTTAGAACCAAGCCCACACAAAATACATGTAACCCAAACCTAGTCAGAGGACCGATCTCGAGAACAGTCCACAAAAGATAACCGAGCTGCACTCTTCAAATACAGTGAACCCTCGTTTATCGTGGTTAATCGGTTCTAGACCCTACCGTGATAAATGAAATTCCGCGAAGTAGGATTCCTTATTTGTAAATCAAATATTTTCGTAGTTAGAGCATAGAGGACATGAAAAAACACCCTTTAGTCACCATTACACTCGTATTACCCAATTTATTAAACGAAAAAGGGAAAATACAGTAAAACATTTTGGACGTTACAATTATCATTTACTATTTATTATATTATTTATGGCATCTAGTTTACAGTATTACATATTTCACATACAGTATTATTATACATAGTTCTTACAAATACTGTAATCAATAGCCTATGAAATGACTTAAGGGATGTACTCTACAGGTGGGTCGCCGTCTTTTTCCTCTGAAGGAGCGGGTTTAGGGGCACTTATTTTTATTGTCAGAAGGCTTAGAAGAAGCAGCTCGTTTAGGAGCCATCATAGGGCTTAGATAAAATTTCTTAAAAATCTCAACAATTACAGTACACTGTACAAAAGCAAAAATGCATCTGATACGTAGCTCCGATACGTAGCGATGCAGACAGAAGCGTGTACAGTATGAGCCAATCAGTGGCAGTAATGACAGAGCGTGCGCTGTTATGCAAAAACCGCGATAGAGTGAAGCCGCAGAAGTCGAAGCGCAAAGTGGCGAGGGTTCACTGTATGTCAAAATGAAACGGGCAAAGACAGGAAGAGGCAGAGGTCCAGCTTAGCAAAGGAAGTAAAGAGCTAGCTGGGAGAGCTGCAGGCAAGGCGTAATCCTGGGTCGGATCCTGTCCTGGGGAGTTTGGAAAACAGCTACTACAAAAAGGGAAACTGATAAAACTTAACCATGGACGATGGATCAGATACTAGAATTTAATCCGTATTAGATTTTTTTATTTGATTGTGTGACAGTGCCCTGGTTGATAGGAAGTAAACAATGAAATTCATAGAGGTCAACGGGTCTGACGGATTAAGTCTCAAATGATACACATGCTAATGTAAATATATCCGAAAGCAAATGAGGTATGTTGGAATCTGGACGAAGGGTATTATGAAGTTCTTCCTATTGATCCTGCAGCTATACTTCAGAGGTTTAAAAACAAAAATTTTGAAGTTAAAATCCAGTTAAGCTCCTTCATGCCAGACATTGGAGATACAGGTATGGCCAATACATACAGGTGTGGTCCGTATCTTCAGAGACCTTCTGTTGAAGAATAACAAGCAAACACAGAAACACCTTAGACAAAGCTTGTGTCTTACAGGAACAGAGACCAGAGGGTCCAATAAGAAAAGATAACACAGATCCAGAGGTGTCCCCACCGCCTACCCTAAAACTCAAGAGCAAAAAGGAAAGGCAGGAAAGCGGAGATTGACAGGTGCTCTCAATGGGAAGATATAGGATGCTGAGAGTCATAAAAATCCCAGCAAGGCTTCTGGGTTGGTTGAATGGAAACTCAAGAGAAGGTTTTCAGTGGCAATTCAGGTTGCCATGACTCCTAGCCCGCGCTCACGCCCTGTCCTCGCCTGGCTTGTGTCAGACAGACTCAGAGGAGTCTGAACAGAGGCCAGGCTGTTTAAAGGATTCCAACACGGGCACAATGGTACACTAACTCAGGACCCCAGGAACGCAAGTCAGCATTTCAAAGTATAACGTGACAACGGCTAGCAGGACTGTATTCCACATAGAAGGACGCCACCTGCAGGTCCATCCGCTGTGGATCAGTCGGCAGGTTAGCACCGGGAAGGTCACAGAAGCCTGATGGAACAGGGTGCAACCCAGCCCATTTGGACATATCCTTTTTTTGAGGGGGGTGGGGGATGGAGAGATATTCTTTTAGCATCTTTGAACAAGAATGTCTCCATGAGCCCAAAGGAGAGAAATGGGGAGCTTTGAACCAGGATACCTCCCGCCAAGCCCTTGCCTAGTAAAGGAGTCTAGACTGACCTGAGGTGTATTTATTACATCCAGACACCCACAACCACTGAGTCAGCAGCTCCAGTTCTAAAGCCCCAACTCCTGTGCCCTAAACCAACTAAGAAGCTGCCAAGTTTGGGCATAGTTATTTCCAAACACATACTTTAATATAAGATGCCGTGATATATAAATTTGAAGCCTGATCTGGCAATATCATCCTTGCATCTTTAGGTCCCTGGGGACATTATTTGGGAAATGGGCATTTTGCCTGCTTGCATGACATACATATGGCAACCCCCACTCTTAAGTTAAACCTCCTTGGGAAAGGACTGGACAAGTCACGGCTATTTCAGTTACTCTGCAGAGATGACCATGGGTTCTGCAGGCTGTGGTGGGCATGCAAGACAAAGCTTGGTGGTACACGGGGCAGGCAGCTCCTGTTGTGCTCCCTGTATCATGTGGTTGTTAGATTCTGACAGCAAGACCAGGGCCCCCATGTGGCAAGAACAGAAATGCCCTGTGGGAGTTTGCCGGCTGTCCTCACCCACAAGACTGTAGAGGTGTCGCTTGATAAATGAAGACTTCGTCCTTGTGCTGAAGCCCATGTATGTTCAGTAACAGGGTACGAGAAAACAAACATGTATCTAATAGAGAGCTGTGTAGACAGAGACCTGCAAAAAAAGCTTGACTGGGAGGGTATCTTTTTTGTTTGTTTTTTAAATTAAAAGAGATCTCCCATGAGATTTGAGGTGAGGTTTCCTAGCAAAGGCAGGATAAATGGGGCTGAGTTGTGCCCAGAATCACGATTTATGCCTTGGAATTCTCTGAGAGTAATTGTCTTGGGCACGTACAAACAGTGCCTCTATTTCTGCTAAACAGGCTTCTCCCCTAAAAGTAAAAAAACTTGATTTTTACTGAGAGAAGACAGGAGTGCGCCTCCCAGGAGGGAGAGCTAGGTGGGGTTTGCAGAAACTCTGCACACAAAGGCCCTTTCATCAGCGGAGCCAGAAGAGCCAGTTTGTGGCAGAATTCACCACAGAGCGCTCAAGGTTGTCAGAAGGGGGCCCTTCTTGTCGATGTAATTAACATTGGTGGGTGGCACATGAGGCAACAGATCATGGGGACAGCCGAGTATCTGTCAGCAACACTGGGCGAACATCTGTGCTCCTAAACTGTGAGTTAAACCCAGGACTACTTCTCTCAAGGATGCTTTTCTGCAACAGGTAACTAAACAATGTAACAGGTAACTAACTGAACATGTTCCTTGAGATTTTGGCAAAGGCAGAAAAAGCCAAAAAGAACCAAATAGAGCCAAATAAAGGCCATTCAAAACCCAATGTAACTTTTCGGAGGAGCTTTAGAAAACAAAACACAACATAGAAAAATTCTGATACTCGTAGCCACCCTCCAGGGCAGGGTAGAACTGCTCCTGTGGGTGTCTGAGACTGGAAATCGTTTTAGGAACAGAAAAGCTCGTTTCTCCCAGGTTTCGAAACACTGATCTGGCGCTTAGCAGCCCAATGCATAACCCACTACACTGCCAGGGCTTAAAAAAAACCAAAACCTCGCTGTTGTCAAGGCGATGCAGACTCCTGGTAGGAACAACTGCCCTGTGGGTGTGCGACTGTCACTCTTTACCAGGATCCAATCCTTTCCTTTCTCTCTCCGAGCAGTTGATGGTTTCAAAACGCTAGCCTTGCATCTAGCAGCCCAACTTGTATCTCTAAGCCACCAGCGGACCCTTCTCAGAACACCTCCTGTCACAGTAATAAGAGGATCTGAAGATGGTAGTAGTTACTGAATCACAGTTCACTTTTTAAAACAAGTTATGTTTAAGCACAGACACCACCAAAACCCCCTCTTTCAGATTTACTCTTGAGTCGTGGTGGCAGACTTCCACAGGGTTCTAAAGGAAATGCCCTTCTAGAGGCTTTCTTTGAGGGGACCACCCTGGGGTCCAAACAAAAAAGGAACCCCTCACACAGATTCTGAGTCCACTGGGCAGAGCGGAACCCCTCTACAGGATTCCCGTGGCCACGGGGTTTGACACGGGGTTCTTCTTCACGCATGCTTACTGCCTTCCTATCTTCCTCCTCCCCCGGAGCACCAACCTTTCCATTCAAAGCCCACTTGGCACTCACCGCACCATCGGCGTGTGCTCTTTATCAAAAGAAGGCTTTTGCTGTCCACCAGGGGCATCATGGTCTGTGCTTGAAGAATAGGACCCTCAAAGGAAGAACAGGCATGCATGGGAACGGCCCCCACACTGGGCCCGGGCTCTCCTTTTCTGAGCGGAGGAGATCCCAGATCAGAAAGGAAAAAGCCGGGATGGTGCTGGTAGGACCGAGCAGTGCTCCCCCTCAGCTGATGTTCCCTTGGCAGCACACCAGCGAGCCTACTTACTGTCCTCTCAGCCCCGGCGGCAGGAAGAAGGGGCACACAGCCACTACCCTGACAAGCCGGAAGCCAGCATTCCACAAGAGGCCAGGAAATGGAGCCAGCCAAGAAATCAGAAAGAAGGATGTGCTCTACCAGTCTGCATTTCCTAACGACAGTGAGGAGCGTACAATAAATTGTTGTTGTTGTTGTTGGTGGTGGTGGTGGTGGTGGTGGTGTGTGTGTGTGTGTGTGTGTGTGTGTGTGTGTGTGTTGGAGGGATGGGGTGGGACATGGGATCTGGAACTTTCATCAACCAACTTGTGGGGGAAATAGCAAGGGTTCTAAATTTAGAGCTTGTGTCCAGGGTACTAAGAGGTCCTGCCACAGTCCACAGGGAGGATGTCTTGTGCACTTGAGAGTGCAGGTAGGGGAAAGACATGTGAGTCCCACAGTTACCTTCCACAGCAGCTCGCACTCCCGCTCCTCCAGAGCCTTCTTGTGCCTCGCCGTCACGGCTTTGACCTCCGACTGCACCACCTTGGCCTTTATCTCCACCTGTTCTGCCACGGCCTGGGCCTGCTCGATGCTCAGCTGAAACACCAAGAAGAATCTCAGGACATTAGGAGAAACAGGACACATCTGCCGTCGGTTCTGGCATTTGTCTGACTTGTAACTGAAGGGGACGTTGGCTGGGAAGTGTCAGAACAATTAAGAGATGCTCTGAAACAGAGCCGAAAATGGGGATAAGGATAAGGTGTGAAATGTGTAACCCAGGGCACAAAGAGGGGAACCTTTACCAGCAGGTGGAGCACATGAGGTGAACGAACTGGGGGTAGGGAGAGGGTGTCACTCCATCATCAGGGCACTTGTACCACAGCTCATCCCAGCTAGAGATACCATCAAGTGCATCCTGGGAATATCTTCTGGGGCACCTAGGAAACCTCGCCCTGTGGTCAGTGACAGCCTACCTCACCACCAAACACACCCCGGAGCCTCTACCACCATCCCTAGTAAATCAGCTGGTTTAATCAGACATATTATTGTTCATAAAAAATTAATCCAGACAGAAGGCTTGGTGGTTTCCATTAATATTACATGATATGGTTTGAAAAGCCTCAAGGATTCTCTGAGACACTGGGCATTAAATCAGGACTCCTGCTGCCGGTGGCACAACAGGTGTTGGAGGAGGTGACCCAAATCAGGTCAGGCTTCGGGAAAAATGGGTTGGGAGGCAACTGGTAGGGTACCCAACCATCTGGCTTGTCCTGGAGCAAGGGTTTCTGTGCTGTGGGACTTCCAGCGTTTAACACCAAGACAAAGCAGTCCTGGGAAAGCACAGCTGGGGCCATGCCTGAGTTCAAAACCTAACGGCATCTGCTACAGGCTGTATGGCTCTGACATGTCCCTGAGCCTCTCCAGCCTTGGGAAAGGGCAAACTTAAGGGAAACTCTAGGCGATTCCAGAAAGAGCTGAATACAGAGCCTGGCACAGAGCTAATAGACAGACGCCTGGGAGGAAAGTTCAACTGCCCTTGCCCCTCATTCCACAGAACTCTTGTCACACCAGAAGCTTTGACAACAAGGCTACCAAGGATTCCAGCCACTACTTTCGCAACGCTGTGCAACACCTCCACGGCCTACTTCCCAAAGGAAGCACCAAACACCGGAATCCCTCTGCAGACTAGTCTCCAAAAGTGGGAGATACTCTTCCCTAGGGGACACTGGCATGACCCAGGGGCTGCAACAGCAGATGCATACACTTTAACCTGGACTAGAGGACACACAAATAATTGCTGGGGTGGTGGTGGTGGTGATATAATTTCTTTTCTGAAAATGGCGCAGTAGGCCAAGAAAGTTTGGGAACTAGGTCCTAGACCAGGGATGCATAAACTTTGAAGAGCCAAGTCCTAGACCTGACAATTACTTAAAACTAAATTTTTTTCAATTTTATTTCGTGTACGTAACGAAAAAGCAGCCGGGTGACTCCAGGGCCGCCATTTGCCAACCCCTGCCCTAGACGAACACAACTGTCAACGTCCTGCTCTACTGGGTTTGCCTAGTGTGGATACCGCATCTCAAAATCATAAGGTGAATGGCAAGGCCTGCTCCATTCTTAAGGGTACATTCTTCATACCCTACGTTCAGTCACTCACTGCCTGGGCCCCACTGACTGTCTTGAAGAGGGAGGAAGGGCAGGCCACATTCACCGTGGGGACAACTCCTTAGGCTCTCTGTGCCTCAACCTGACCACTAGAAACCAGAAGGGATAAGACCAGGACTTGCTGCTGACCAGTTGACTCATGGTGACCCCGATCTGTTCAGACTAGAACTCTGCTCCATAAGGCTTTCCACCCGAACCCAGGAAGTGGAGCACCAGGCCTTCCTTCTGAGGCTCCTCCAGACGGAAGTGAGCCTCCAGCTCTTCCATGAGAAGCGTGTGTTAACCAATGACACCCCCACGGGGCTCCCATGTGCGGAACTCTCTGACCCAAGCCTGTGATGCCCAAGGACCCACTGAGTTCACCCAAGCTAGCTGGGCTCCTGTTTGTGGCTCAGACGCTAACAATCACTGAATCCTTCTCTTCCAATTCTCCAATTGCAACACTACCTCTCATTCCATTCCTGAAGCTAGAAAGTTGCTGACACCTTCCCATGGTGATTTACTTTGCTTTTTGTCTTTACAAGTCACCCCTACTACTGTTTACAGGGATCTTAACGACCCTCAGTGGAAGCTCAGAAAGTTGTGCCTGCTACGTAGACGTCTGGGTTGTAGCAGTAAAAATCTACACATTTCGTAATGTGTACATCTGACCCTGGCACTGGGCAGCCAACAAACTGGATGCAGCTTGATTATCTATCAACTACCCAAAAGATTTTTAAAATGAGACTAACCAATCAGACATGCGAGTGTGCATATAAGCAGGCATCATCCTTGATGATTTCCAAGTGCCTCAGGATTCGGAGAAAGGGGCACCTCACTAGATAGATGGGCAGAGAGAATGGACCAGTTCAGCGGAGAAGTAGAAGGGCAAAGGGAAACCGTTCTGACCCACACATAGCGCAGCAGGGCCAGGCCCAGCGAGCACGTGGACTGCCCACAGGTGGGCAGCACTGGGACCAACTTCCGCCGGCGGCGTGAAAAAAAGAACAGGAAGCTGAAAAGACAAAGCCAGTCACCCCTGACTTCTGGGGGAGCAGTTGGAAAGATTCTAAGCCCAGTACAGAAAGGGCAGGGGAGCTGAGAATAAACGTAGAGCCTGATGAGAGGACATCGGTTCTCGGACACGCTGGTTCCTAGTCAGCACAGAGCTGCCGGTCATGTCCACCTGTCTTCATGCAGCCTCAACAGACACGCAGAAATAGCCAGTGGATTTATTTAACGAAGGTGTGTTAACTGGGCCCCTTCAGACAGCAGGCAGGCTAGGCAGGCTCACCTCTCCTCTGCCCGCAGGCAGCCTGCTGCTTCAAGTGTGTCCTCTCAGCGCTCCACAGGCCCTTGGGTTTAAAGGTCTTGTTCTGTGGTCAAAACTGGCCTTTGCTGTCATTTTCCAAACAGGCAGGAGGAAAGTAACATTCTTCGCGTCGTCTGAGCCACCACAGAGGCTAACATCATCATTCCCAGGGTTGTGAATCACACAGGCTCGGCGTGCCGAAGGCAACACAGGCCTCCCCTCAACGGCTCCATCATCCAACCAACCACGGTGCACTGCGTGGATGTGCGCACCAGGGCCACCTGCAACACCACCTCATTCTGAAGCAGGACCTTTGAAGTCAGAGGTAGGTGTGGGCTAGGAGCTTCCAACTTCTCAAACAGAACCACAGACTCTACCCACATTAACCAGCGTTGGATCCGGATCATCTTTCAGGCATTAGCAGATCGGATCGAACATACGAGAATTAAGAGTCTCAATCCTGGCAGGTGAACCACCAGCGCACATGAATGGCACACGAAGGTAAAAAGTGGTGGCCAGTAGGATACAGGTGGAGAATATTAAAGGCCAAATCTAGGTGTCTGGGGAAAGAATGCCTGCGGTGCAGAGCAGCGGCACTACTTGATGATCGGGGACACAGAATGCCAAACGTTTTGCTATCCTGCTTGTTTATAGAACCTCTTATTAATTCATTTTAATCACATCTAGCATCTGTGAAACTAAGCTTCCCGGTGTGATTCTATCGGTGATTATTTTGGTTACTTGCCCATAAAACAAGTGTGGACACCAATGACACGTAAAAGCTGGTGAAAAACAGTCGCTGAAATAAGCAGACTGTCTTACATGGATAGTAACTATACCTGATCTTGGTTCCTGGCACACCCAGGGACTCACACACCGTGTGCAACCCTAACAACATGACTCCAATGGTCGAGGGGTTATTCGAGAAAGGTGTGCAACCCTAACAACATGACTCCAATGGTCGAGGGGTTATTCGAGAAAGCAATAAAAGCGGTCACATTTAGAACAATTGAGGCATCTCTTGTGACTTTCTTTGTAGTGGTGATTCTAAGGGTTCTCCCAAGTGTGACCTCTTTTTTTTTAACGAGAAATTATAATGAATTCAGGGATTTCCTTCTAAGTTTTTTTTCTTGACCTAGACCGCAAAGTTAAAAACTGACAACTCATGAGTGGCCCAGAATCATTAACTTGGGGATATGACACTGTCCAAAGTACATCATACACTGGACAAAGCCCAAATAGGCAATGGAGAGATGAGGGGGCTTGCAAAAGGTGTGTGGGAAAACACTCTAATCTTTTCCCAGTTGAACACCCACTCTCACTTAAGTCTCTCAACCCAGAAAGCACTGACGAGAAGGAAGTGTTCACCAAACACACAAACCACCTTGAAGACTAGAGGTGTTTAAGATGATGTGCGCTCACAGGGAAGCTAACAGACTGCGTGCTGTTGAGGTGAGTTAAGAGAGGAGCTGGTATAAATCTCCAAGCTTGCTGGCACTGACACAAACCCAGAAACCTGACCGGTGGAGTAATTCTGGTCCAGAATGCACTGGAGAGAGGCAGACCGTCTCTGCTGTGTCTCTCGGGAGGGTGCATTATCCCAACTAGGAAGGGGGAGAGCCAACAGACAAACACTCCCTGGTCAAAGCAGGAGCACACAGTTCCTACA